TTATTTACTTATCACCCACCCTTTGTTTTTCATTTTTACCAGCCATTGTATCGTGATGCCTGGGAAAGAGAGAAGGCAAATGTGAATGTGCCGGCTGACACTCCAGTGATGCTGCAGTCCAAAATCAATGCCATGCAGATCAGTGATGTAAGGAACTATACATCCATTTGCTTTACACAATATTTTTGGCCTAACTGAAACTTAAATTGATACGCTCCAGAGGGAGTTAAGCAAAAGGCATTTCCCTACCATTCCTTTTATTTCTAGTCTTTAACGATAAGTGCTCTGTGTGCACACACACATGCAAATGCACTCGTATGTGTATGCATGTGTTTATAAATAGAGATGTGTGTCCTTATCTTTTTTGGAAGGAAAAATGCACTAGTTTCACCAAAAACAACATAAAAACATATACATGCAAGTATAGTAATATTTGGTTCTCTTTGTAGTGGCCCATCATTGATTTTTCCTCTTAAAGCAAAATGATATATATATATTTTCTCATTTTCACATGATTTACTGTCTCCTAAATTACTTTCTTTAAAAAAAATGAATTTTAATTAATTTCATTAATAATCTACTGGCACTTAATTTCAGTATGAAACCAGCCTATTTTATAAATTTTAAGGGGAGACTAATTTTCAGCGTAACTTAACATATTCTCTTAAACACATCAGGAATGCTGACTCAGTGGCTCCCTCTTCAGATTAACTGTGGCATTGCAATCTCCATTTGCAGAAACAATATAAGCAAGCGTGGGAAGACGTCAAGATGACGGGTTATGACCTGCGAGAAGATGCCATTCCAATTCAGCACGCCAGAGCTTCCAGGGATATCGCCAGTGATGTAAGAGCTACTCCTTTCACAGACTTAACCAACGCTAACAGACAGCACATGAGAAATTAATACTTGTCTAATCTTTAATTTATTTGCGAAGGAATAAGTAGAATAGAGATCTTAATAGAGATCTTAAGAGATTAAGAATATTAAGATCTTAATAGAGATCTTAAGAGATTAAGAATAGAGATTCTTAAGTAGAATAGAGATCATCGTGATTAGTGTCTTGTTTTAACATCTCAAATTCAGGAATAACTTTTACAACAGTTTGGTGATGCTTTTGCATCAGGGCTTGGCTCTTCTTATGTTTAAGAACAGATTTTTATTTTCTTTTCAGCATCTTGTCAATATTATTTAATTTACAAGCAGTTATAAAAATTCAATGGATAAAAGTAATTCTGAGGGTTTTTTTAATGTTTATTTTTGAGAGAATGCAAGCAGGGGAGGGGCAGAAAGAGAGGGGGACAGAGGATCTGAAGGGGGCTGTGTGCTGACAGCAGCAAGCCCAATGTAGGGCTCTAACTCACAGACTGTGAGATCATGACCTGAGCCTGAAGTTCGAGGCTCAACTGACTGAGCCACCCAGAAGCCCCAGAATTCTGTTGTCTCTTGAAGTGCAGCATACATAAGTTGTTCCTGTAATAATTTTATGCAGTTGATGGATAAGCATTTTTTAAAAGTTATGATTTGATGTGTGCTAGAAAAGTATTGATTTTCCCCATTTACATAGAATGATAAATTTTAGAACAAAAATATTTTAAAGTTCACACTTTAAATTTATTTAAACAAAGAATCTAGTTGATAGACTAAAGTAGGAAGTACTGATAGTAACTGATTGTGGCAAAACGCCTGGGAAGGAGGTAGACAGTGACTGAAGTTTGGGAAACACCACATAAGCCTATACTGGGAATAATCCAGAAGCACAGTTCTTGCCTTCGAGGTGCTCACAATGTTTTCATGCATGTAGACATAGACAAAGCAATGTGTTAAGAATCATAAAACTTACAGTATGGACTTAAAAACAGGGCCCATAAAAGGCTCATCTAAGGGAGATAGAGTTATTTTGAGCAGGCTGTTTAGAAAAAGTGAGTTTGGAAAAATAATTCTTCTTTCTTCTGTTCACATACACCAGTATCTATACAAAACTACTTATGAGAAACAGAAAGGTCATTACATTGGATGTCGCACTGCCAAAGAAGACCCTAAACTGGTTTGGGCAGCAAAAGTGTTAAAGATGCAGAATGACAGGCTGTACAAAAAGGCCTACAATGACAACAAGGCCAAGATCTCCATCCCGGCAGACATGGTGTCCATCAGTGCTGCCAAAGAAGGCCAGGCATTAGCAAGTGATGTGGATTACCGCCATTACCTGCACCACTGGTCTTGCTTTCCCGACCAGAATGATGTGATCCAAGCCAGGAAAGCCTACGACCTGCAGAGTGATGTAAGTTGTTGCTTGTGCACAGAGTACCAACTGAGGTGCCTGAGGAATGAGCTGTTTCCCAGGGAGAAAACCTTCCAGAGCTTTGCCTGGTCATTCCTCCTAGGACTCAGGAAAATGCAACTCTCCTTACATGAGCATCTCTTTAACATCTTACCAAGTTTACTGATTGCCTTCCTTACTGCTGGTCTTATTCAGAAAGTGTTTTTTCTTTCTTTCTTTTAGTGGTGCTATCAGATTTTTTCTATAGATTCCTTAATATATGCTGTGTCTGTAGTTTCCTAAACATAAGAATTCCTATGGTCCTTCATTGAATGACAGGGCTACTTCCTTGAAATTAATTTTAAAGGTTAGCAGTGTATTCCAAACTCATTAGTTTCCTTAATTCAGTGTTCTTCACAATATGGTGTTTCATTAGTCTACTTAAAGTATTTTTCGATTCATATTTTCTGCTCATCCAATCTTATAGAAATCATGGATTCCATTAGGGTATTAATTTCTTATGTAGAATGAATGCCTTCTTTAAATTATTTGAACTTGATTCCCATAAGCTTCAAGGGATGCTTTCATGATGAATGAATTTGTTATAGAAAAGTGTATCCATCACTTGAAATGAATTGCCAACTGGTCAATTTAGGCCAGTTTCTAGAGAAATTCAGTCTCTCCATTAACCTGAATAACATTAGCATATAATGGAATGCATATGAATCAAGTTCCTAAAGGATGAGGAAGGCAAACTTCAAAATCTATATGTAATCCTTTTTGAGAATCCTTCTGAATTTTGGGTATCCATCATACTTTACACACTAAAATATACAATGTCCTTCATTAAGATAGAAATTTTACTGCATTTTCACTCCTCTTACTACCTTTTTTATCCTGATATTTGTATCCTATTAACTGGTTATTTAAATACCATTTCTGAAAAACAGAATGATTTTTTTATGAAATTAATAACCGGTGCTTAACATAGAGCAATTTTTTCTAGTTAACCACTTATCTATAGCTGAAAAAACAGGTTTGAATAACCAAGAAAATGCAAATCCCAATTCAAAGGGAGGTGCTATCTTGGAAATGGAAGAAAGAAAAAACAACTGAGATCAAAATTGTGGAACCAGGGATTGAATTCCTTTATTTTTTTTTTATTGAAGTATACTTGACACATAAAGTCACATTAGTTTTAGAGGTACAGCATAGTGATTCAACAAGTCTACACTCACCAGAAGTGTGGCTATGATCTGTTACCATACAACACTATTTCAGTACCATTGACTATATTCCCTATCCTGTACCTTTTATCCCTATGACTTATTCATTCCATAACTGGAAGCCTGTGTCTCCCATTCCCCTTTTACCCATCCCCCCACCTTCCTCCCTTCTTGAAAACATTAGGGTTTTTTTTTTGTTTTTTGCATTGATTGGTCTCTTTCTGCTTTTTGTTTGTTTGCTTATTTATTCATTTGTTATTTAGATTCTACATGTAAGTAAAATCATGGGGTATTTGTCTTTCCCAGTCTGACTTATTTCACTTAACATAATAGGTCCATATGTGTTGTCACAAATGGCAAGACCATGGTTTTTTTTTCTGTCCTGAGTAAAATTTCATGTGTACATGCATATGCACACACAAACACACACACACCTACCACACCTTTGTTATCAATCCATCTATTGATCACTTCCATACCTTGGCTATTGTCGATAATGCTGCAGTAAACATAGGGGTGCACGTAGGTCTTTGAACTTGCATTTTCATTTTCTTTGGGTAAACACCCAGTAGTAGAATTGCTGGATCATATGATATTTCTATTTTTAATTTTTTGGGGAACTTCTTATTTACCACAGTGGGACTGAATCCTTAATTATCCCTTTAAAATACACCATGTGCCAAGTACTGTGCTAAGCACTAAAGATACAACAGTGAATGAAGAGGAAGAAATAAGACAAAGTTCCAGACATTAGGGAGTTCATACTGATAACAAAGAAACAGATGTTAACTACAGAATATCAACAGAAAAAAATCAGATGCCTGAGAAAGAGTGATCCATGGTGCTATGAAAAAGTGAGGAGGAAAACTTACCAAGGAAGTACTGAGTGAGTGGGAATATAAAGGGAGAGTAGGAGTTGGCTCTGCAGAATGACCACCATATGCAAAGGGGTCTGTATACAAACAAGAAACCAAAAGTCCATTGGGGTCATAATGCATAGGTTAAAGGGAAGCACATATAAGACGAGACTGGAAGAATTGGTAAGGACTGGTGCTAGATTATCATCATCTTCTAGTCCATGTTAAGACTTTGATCTTTGTCCTAAGACCAATGGGAAGCCATAGGATGCATGTGGTGCATCAGATTTGATTTGTAAACTTTATGACGATCATTCCAGCTGCTGTGTGGAGAACTTACTGGATAGCCCATTATTATTGCTTTAAAGCCCACCTGAGCTGGTATGATGTTACTTAAATATAACTCAAAATCTTCCATGCATCCCGCAGACAGAGAGCTCCTTCTGCATCATTCTGCTTTTTTAAGAGTGTGTAAAGTGCCCCTGCTACAAAAAAACAAAGCAGAACAGAATACTGCTGTGCATTTGAGGAATTATGTCTGTCAATGCTCATTTTTAATTATTGTTTGTGGAAGGTAAAATATAACATAAAACTGCTTTCTTACTTTACCACAATTAAAAAAACACTGCCTCTACTTAACTTTGTTTTCTTTCCCAGGCCATCTACAAGGCTGACTTGGAGTGGCTACGTGGCATCGGCTGGATGCCCGAAGGGTCTCCTGAAGTGTTGAGAGTCAAAAATGCCCAGGAGATCCTACGAGACAGTGTCTATCGGACACCTGTGGTGAAACTCAAGTACACAAGTATTGTCGACACACCTGAAGTTGTCCTTGCTAAGTCAAATGCTGAAAATATTAGTATTGTAAGTCACTTTTCCCCTCTGTGTTAAAATTAAATCATGCTCATAAATGATAAATAATTAACTTGGCAATCTGTTTGTATGATAATGATGTTGATGATAGCAAAGATTTTAATCCATAATGTTGATAGGGCTGTTTTATTATTTTTCATAAACTTTAAACAAAAACTCAAAGTACTAATAAAAGGTAATCATGAATTGGTACCATTACCAATTTCATATTAAATTTGAGTAACTTATATGAAAGACTTTTGGAAGTTTTTTTTCCTTAATATGAAAAGATTTTAGATCAGAAAAGTTGAAAGTTGTGCCCTGGAACTCGCAAAATTATAAGTTGCAAAGTAATTTTGTTATTGTTGGGTCTTTCCATAGCCAAAGTACAGAGAAGTTTGGGACAAGGATAAAACTTCAGTCCACATAATGCCGGATACTCCAGAAATTAATCTTGCTAGAGCCAATGCTCTTAATGTGAGCAATGTAAGTACCTCAACAGACTCCCTTTTTGTTTATAAGTTCACCAGCTGGTGCTATGATATCCCCAGGGAACTCTTCATAGCCAGGGGAGAAAAGATTGACTGGGTGGGGATGGGGAAGACTCCTTAACATAAGTCCTTGACCAGGAAAGGAGCAGGGGGCACCTGAGAGGCTCAGTCGGTTAAGCCTCTGACTCTCGATTTTGGCTCAGGTCATGATCTTACAGTTCGTGGGTTTGAGCCCCACACCTAGCTGACACTGACAGTGTGGAGCTGCTTGGAATTCTCTCTCTCTCCTCTCTCTCTGCCCCTCCCCCAGTTTGCATTCTCTCTGTCTCTCTCTCTCTCTCATAATAAAAAATAAACTTAAAAAAAAAAAGTGAGGAAAGGAGCAGATCCTTGGCTCTGAGTCACCCAGCAAGGCCAGTTACTGGTGAGCCAGTGTCAACATGACAGAAAGGGAGAAGGTAATAAGGACCAGAAAGTTTAAAGAAGAATGAAGAGACACATGACCAAGAAAGGGGAATTAACAACAGTCAGATGAACAAAATAATTATAAGAATTCTTGCAAAACTTTATACATATTAATTTTAAAGCCTGGATCTGTAGGGGATTTCTAGGAAATCATAAATTACCAAAATGAGCCCAAGGGGAAAAAAAAACATATAACAAGAAATTAAGAGGATTATTAAAGACTCTCCTCCCTCCTCTCAGATGTCGGGGTCATCCAGATGATTTCATAGAATTCTTTCAGACCTTTAAGAAATAATCAAACTATAATAGAGCCCAATGAAAGAAGGAAAGCCATCACAATTTCCAAAACTTGTCAAAGATAGTTCCACAAATGAAAACTGTAAACCAATAGTGAAGAAAATCTTAAATATTAACAAATAAAGTTTAATAGTATGTGAATATGATACGAGAAAAAATAATTAGGGTTCATTCAGGAATGCCAGGGGGGTTCCATATTCAGAAACCTAATAATGTGTCTGAACAAAAGAGAAAATCACATCTTTATTTTAATAGATTTTAAAAGGCATATGACAAAATCTAATATCCATTATTTTTAAAAATAAAATCCTAATAAAATAAGGTTAAATGACTATCTTCTTGATGTGACTAAAAGAATAAATCTCAAATCAAAGCCAGACTCATTCTCAGTAAGTTAAGTTTCTCATTCAAGCTAGGAATGAAACAAGGATGCTCATTGACATCACCATTATTTAATGTTTGCTGGAATTTCTAGCTAAGTGAGTAAGCTCATTCAAGCCAAAATAATTACATAAGAGTAAGAGATAAATATTGGGTTTAAAAAGGCAAAATTATCATTACCTACAGGATAAATCATTATGGCTGGAAAAAGGAAGAGAATGAACTAAAGAGTATAATTAATAAAATGAGAGAATTCAGTGGCTAGCTACACACTTTAAGAAATCTCAAGAAAGGTACTGTCTTCATGGATCATAGAGCTTTCTTGTGAGTAGAAAAAGTATGACCCTAGAAGAAGTATACTACCTTAATGTCATTCACCATGGTTTGGAACTTGACATTTTTCAAAAAATAATAAATCTTTGTGAGAGAAGGAACCTGCCCAGAAAAGATTCCTCACCACATGCCAAACCACACCATCAATTCTATTGTAATGGGCCACTTGGGAGCTAGTTTTTTCCAAGAGATGGGAAGAAAATGAAATTTTAGGGCGTTGATACATTTTTTTTTTTAGACAAGAATAGTATTATGGTGCAGTGCTTTCTCATCACCAAACTGCAGCATAAACAAAGTCCTCAGCCTCTTCTTTTCCATCCAGAGGCACCTTTGGCTGGACAATCAGGGAAAGTCTCATGTGCTCTTTTTTGTATGATATATTTCTTAGCTGGAAATATCAGAATCCTACAGCTAATATCTCGATGTAAGCAAGAGTAGTATTTGAAACTATACCAAAAGTTACAAACTTCAGATATTTAGATATTCGATATTAAGACAATGAAGGACGCATGTGTGGCTCAGTCAGTTGAGTATCTGATTCTTGATTTCCACTCAAGTCATAATCCCAGTGTCATTGGATCGAGCCCTGCAATGAGCTCTGTGTTGAATGTTAAGCCTGTTTAAGATTCTCTCTCGCTCCCCCTCTGCCCCTCACCCCTGATTGTACACACTTTCTTGCTCTCTCTCTAAAATTAAAAGTAAAAAGACATTAATGAGAATGGCTTGTGCTTTGGAGGAAATCAAACCTCCCATGTGAATGCTAACCAAAAGGTACATTTTTTTAAAACATGGTGTCACTATTACTATAATCTTGATAAAAGTCATACTTAAAACTGTTTCTATCATTTGGAAAGCACAACTTTTTCAAGATATTTGTATATAATTTTCTAGGTAACCAGCAAATTCATGTTAAATTAACTCATTTAATCTAATCACATGAATAAAATATATAGTGCTATTTTGTTTTTATCCGATGGGAAAGTTGAGACTTAAAGTGATTGAGGAATTGATCCGTGTCTCAAAGTTAGTAGACGAAGTTTTGGTCTCAAACCCTGATTTTTTTTTTAACTCAAATAAAAAATATATTTGAACACATAAACAAAAATTTAATACATAATTAAAAACAGTATAACATATGTAATAAAAACAAATTCTAAATAACATGATGAGTTTGCATTAAATATTCTCCATTTAAATGTGGGAGAACACTCTACATTTAAATGTGGAGAACACTTTTATTTTGTCTAAAAATAAAAGTCAATTGTTAAATAGGCCTACCCAAAATTCATACAAAAACTTGAATGAAAATTCATACAAAACTTGTCTACACTCATATTTCAGATATGCAAAGCCCGTGAAACTGTCAATAATTGAAATTCATCTTTCTGCACTTTTAAAGCTTCCACATTGATTGGTGTGATTTCTGAATTATACATTTAGATTACTGTTACTTCTTGTTTTTTAATGTTTGTTTATTTTTGAGACAGTGAGAGAGAGCGCGAGCAGGGGAGGAGCAGAGAGAGAGGGAGACACAGGATCTGAAGCAGTGTCCAGGCTCCGAGCTATCAGCACGGAGCCCAATGCGGGGCTTGAACCCACGAATCGTGAGATCATGACTTGAGTCAAAGTCAGACACTCAACTAACTGAGCCACCCAGGCACCCCTAAATTACTGTTACTTTCGAGTCTTACGTCATCAACACAGAGTGTGTCCATTTAAATATGAACATATATTTGAAAAGTTACCTGTAAATCACTACCTTAATTTCTGTGTATAAATAAAAACACACTGCATTTTAAAAATGGCTATTGGGGCACCTGCATGGCTCAGTCAGTTAAGCCCCTGACTTCGGTTCAGGTTATGATCTCATAGTTCATGGGTTCAAGCCCCTCATCAGACTCTGTGCTGACAGCATGGAGCCTGGAGCCTGCTTCGAGTTCTGTGTCTCCCTCTCCCTCTGCCCCTTCCCCTCTGCCCCTTCCCCTCCTCTCTCTCTAAAAAATGAATAAACATGAAAAAAAATTTTAATGGCTATTAACATACAATTGTGCTTCAGAAGGAATATCTAACTTTCCCAAACAATATGCATCATCAACTACATGAAAAAATCTAAGAAACCATCCTGGGAAAACCTCCCCACAAATATAAAAAGTGTATAATTCTGAAGATGACAGAATTGAGTTGAATTTTAAAATTAAATAAATTGGAATTATTAACTTAAAGAAACCCAGTAATTTCTCATTAAGTCTGACCATAACCTTATCCCAGTGCTACTGATACAAGAA